AAACTTTCCTTGGTCATTGCCTTTGATATTGTTCGGTTTGGAAACCTGTAATTTATATAAAAGTCAGGAGGAAGGCTCCGCAAATGATCAGAAGTGGACAAATGATTTAAAGTTTGCTCTAGCATTTCTTTTGTATTATAAGCAAACAAGTATAGGTATGAATGAGTCTGATGTTCTTAATTTAATAGTTAATTCATATGCTTCTAGATAACAATTGCCAGCCTATATAATTGTGGTCAAATAATTGTCTACTTCAAATCATTTGCCAGCCGGTGGGGAAATATCGAGGCCTTCTTCATGACTTATATATATATATATATATATATATATATATATATATATATATATATATATATATATATATATATATATATATCAGGTTTCCAAGGTCAAAACAGGCAGTTCATAGTTCATAGAAAATGGAGCAAGGTAAAGTTTTCTTAGCACTCTCCCTCGTAATCACAATTGCTGGAGCCAAGAGATATCCTCTTCCCAGAATTTCTCCAGTTCAACCTCCAACTCCAGCTCCAGCTCCAGCAGCTCTTGGACTTTGCTGGAAGAGCTACCTAGCCAACACGTTAGTATGCTCTTGTGCAAAATTATCTGTCTGGGATCCATCAACCAGGGCTATTGGAGCAGCCTTGACTGATATGCTCCGCACCTCAAGCAATATCACTACCCAGCATGGTGAGTTGTTTGGAGCTCTCACTTGCAACAATCAGGCTGCTTGCAGGCTTTGTACTTTGGAAGCTATAAATTCTATTTCTTTCTAGTGTGGCTCTGCAGCTTCGGTGTCTTACACAACAGCGGCATGTAGAGTGCAGTATGTTTTGAAAAGTACCTTCTGGGTCAGCTGGATCATTTGCCAAGGCAACTGGTTCATTCGGGCTTTCAAGTTCCATTGAAAAAGTTTCAGCATGCCTGGAAATAAATTGCACTTGCCCAGCATATTCTGTGTAGTTAGTAAACTATTGTTTTTATTTTTTAATATATTAAAAGCTAAATTGGAATAGTATCAAAATAACAAATATTATATTCCACTTTGATTGAGGGAATTATGCCTAGAAAATGCTAGATGAATACAAAAATAAGTTTTTATAAACTTGATAATATAAATATCTAGAACAAAATATATTCCAAGGCATAAGTAAGAATAAATATCCATTAATAAAAATATTATCTACAAATTATTATTTTGAAATATGATTATATTTAAAAAAATACCTGACAAAGAAAAAAGTAAAAATTATTTTTATATTATTAAAAATATGTTATATGTAAATTATATTTTTACTTGGGATAAATTTATTATGATTTTATCAAAAAAAAGAGAATATTTACTGCAAGACATTCATTACGTATACGTTTTACTTAGGATATAAAAAAATAAGTTTTTAGGAACATTAATATATTACTACCCAGATCTAATCAAGAAAATAATTATTTGTAAATATATATGTTATAGAAACTATAAATTAAAATCTTATATTCCATAGTATTATGTACTAATAAACTATATTTGCAATTAGTAAAAATATTTTAAAATATTACTGTTTAATCAAATATTACATGATAATGAATTAAATTATAAATAGCTAAGGCTACATATAAAAATATAATATGTACTCTTATTGTTAATAAAAGTTGTTTAATGTTTTCATATTAACACTTGAAACTTTAATTATGGTCTTACACATTTATAAAATTAAATTAACCCACATTTGATATACCAATCCGATATGCCATTGCCTAGTGTTGAGTTTTATATAGTTTAATGATTTTTAGACAGGCCATTTGTACAGAATATAATTTTTTATTATATTTTTAAGTACTGTTAAAATTAAATTATAAAAGTTAATTTTGACCTAAACTATTCAAATATTATAATACTTTATAAAACAGAATAATTTTAGATAAAGTTGATTATTTTATTCATAAAGAATTAAAAAATAAAATTATTTACATAAAAATATTTACTCTCTTGTGTTAAACAGAATTTAAATCTCTGCTAGTTTTGGATTTTAATCTAGTGATGCCACCAAAGATATACATAATCTATCAGCTCAACGAAATGGGTTTTGGGATTATAAATCACTTCATTCCATTCATTGAAGAGTAAAGCACAAAAAATTACATTGCAGACATTCACAATGTTAACTAGCAAAGCAGCACCACCACTCTTTATTGAAATTATGTTACCACTATCCACTACAATTGTAACTCTTACTTTCAAACGCATCAAATTCAGAAATTGTTGAAAGGCTGGCCATGACGGGGAATTCTTGCGCAAGGCTCCATAACAGAGTTGCTTTTGGATTCTCGTAGAGCCTTCGAGCAATAAATAACCCTTTTACAGTTGACCCTCTATTGGACGGTTGCAATTGGCTGGATCTGGTGGCCCAAAAAGTTCAGCAACTCCTTAATGTGATAGATTGTTGCCAAGATCAGATTTATGCACACCATCAACCTAAGAAGAATTAGTAAATGTAAAAAAGGAACTGTTAGGCATAGCTCCAAGCAGTACGTAAGCAACAGAAAGCTCCTCAAAAACAGAGCCTCGAAGCACCTCATATTCAATCTGCATGAAGTGCTCCAGGTCTATCGGTTCCATCAGAGTGAATTGATAGCAGGATATATCCTCCCCTAGTGATTGCCTTGCATGCTTCTGCAACAACATTTGTTTCAACCCTAAAAGCCAGTAGAAACCAAAAAAGTGAAGAACCCACCAAGAAATCCCACTACAAACGCCCCATTGGAGACGTTCTCCTTCCACCAAGTTACACCATCGCCCACGTCCACGAGGCCATCTCCTTCGCACGGCCGGGAGAGAGGCTCCCCGCACAGTCCTGGATTTCCCTCGTAGCTCGACGCGCCAAACTCCAGAGTCTCTGGAATCCTGCCTTCCAAGTCATTAAACACGACCCTCAGATCCTTGAGCAAGTGAAGCCTCGCCAGTCCCCCTGGTATCGTCCCGTTGATCCGGTTGAAAGAGAGATCCAGCACTGCCATGGACGTCATCTCTCCCAGAGTCCATGGAATGCCTCCAGACAGCCAGTTGTGTGACAAGTTGAGCTCCCGGACTCCAGCCAGCTTTCCCAAGCTTGTGGGAATCTCACCGGTGAGCTGGTTCGCCGACAAGTCGCCTCCAACTCCCTTGCGTATTGCTGGTACGTGTGTCCATCCAAGGCGCCAGCCATATCCTCGGACACAGTTCTTCGGTATGCATCGGTGGAGTTCTCCGGAAACACTCCAAACGGTGTCATGGACGATATGTTGAGAGCCTGGTTCTTGTCCGCGGTCTGGAAGCCGGTCCATTCACCGATGGACGCCGGAATCTCTCCACTCAGGAGGTTGGAGGATAGATCCAGTAGCTGCAAGGTGTCACAGCTTGCGAGGCTGCCAGGAATACCACCCGTGAGCTGGTTCTCGGAGAAGTCCACCCGTGTCAATCGTCGAAGCTGTCCGAGAGTCGCCGGGATGGAGCCGTCCAGCTTGTTGTTGGAGAGATAGAGTATGGAAAGTTTGGAAAGGTTGCCAACGGAGGGAGGGATGGAGCCTGATAAGCTGTTGCCGTGCAGCCTCATGTCGATTATCTCTGGCGAAGCTGGAGCTGGAATCACTCCGGAGAGCTGGTTTCCGTAGAGGAGCAAACTCCGAAGCTTTGCCATCCTGGCGATGGACTCTGGTATTGCTCCACGGAAGAAGTTCCTCTCGAGGACCAGCTCTTCCAGGTTGGTGCAGTTCCCGAGCTCCTCTGGTATTGCTCCGGAGAGCTGGTTTCCACCGAGCATCAAAACTCTGAGACGCTGAAGCGTGCCAAGCGATCGAGTAACGCCTCCCAGGAGTCTGTTGTTGGAGAGGATCAGCATCTCCATCCTGGTACACTTGGACAGCTCGTCCGGAACGCTTCCTTCAAAGCGGTTCCCGTTGAGTCTCAGCGACCGAAGCCTTGTCAAGTTTCCGACGATCGATGACAGGATCCCTCGGCTGTTTGTCCTCCCGATTCCCAGAAACTCGAGCTGAGTCATGTTCCAGAGCTGTTCCGGGACCGGACGGTCGGAGGTGTTGTTGAAATAAGAGAGTTGCAAGGTGGCCAAGCGCGGGAGCTGAAGCAGCGACACTGGAATCGAGCCATGCATGAGCGAGTTTCCGTTGATATCAAACCACTCGAGCTTGCTGTTGTTGCTGATCTCAGGAGGAATTGGCCCCTCCAGCCGCTGCACGCTATGCAGCGACAGTGCCACCAAGTTTTCGAGCCGTCCAAGCTCATCTGGTATCCTCCCGCCCAGAGAATTCTCCCCGAGCGCCAAGAGCTCGAGAGACGAGCAGTTTGCAAAAACTGGTGGAATGAGCCCTTCCAGCCGGTTTCTCTCCACGAAGAATACTCGCAGCTCCTGCATAGCCCCGACTTCCTGCGGAATCTCCCCTTCAACATCATTGCTCGTCAGCCAAATCTCCTGGAGCTTCGAGCAGTTCGCAAGGGACGGAGGAAGAGAACCTGACAAGCGGTTGTTGTGGACGAGTATCTCCAACCTCTGGAGCGCTCCCAGCTGGGGCGGTATCGGACCTTGAAGCTGGTTTTGCTGGGCGTTGAGAAAACGAAGAGCGCTACAATTGCCGAGATCCCGAGGTAAGCTCCCAGTCAGTCTGTTACCCGAGACGTCCAAAGCTTGCAGGCTTTGCAGCAGCCCGAGCTCCGCAGGAAGAGATCCGACCAGCAGGTTTTTGCTCACGTCCAAGACTCGCAAACTCGCCAGCTGCCCGAGTGCCACCGACGAGATCTCACCTGTGAATCCATTTCCTGCCAGATGAAGCTCCACCACCTCTGAATCGTCACTGTTGCAAATCACTCCCTTCCAGTCGGTGCATGCTCGATCGGAGTTTTCCACAGTCCAGTCTGAGGTGTTTCCCAGTCCCAGGAGGCTCCTTTTCAATGCAACCAAGACCCCAGCTTTGTGTGCGTTGAGTGATGCTGTAGAGGATCCAAGCGTGCTCAACAGGATCAGCCAGATCATGAGTTCCATCATTTGCAACTTCACTTCAACTTCAACTTCAACGTGTTACTACTTCCCTTCTCTTGACGGAGAGCCCTGCAATCCATCAGTCAGTCAAGGTGCGCCACATAGGAACTTGACTTTGCGACCTACCTTTATGCGGCACGATTTTCTTGTTCTGACTTTGTCCCCGCCAACTCTGTGCCCACCACGTGAAACATAAAGAAACGTAACTTCACCAGTGATCCCCGTACGAGCAGGCTCCCTTCTCAAAGTGGTGGAACCGGCTCCCATCTCTCACAAAAATCCTCTTCTCAGTGATATCTGAGAGAAGCTTGATCGCAGAGTGGCAGTCGGAGCACACCCGGTGGCTGTTGACGACTCTCAGATCAAAGATGCCATGGATCTGGTGGACAGCCTTCCGTACAATCCCATGGAAGTGGAATGGACGGCATTGCTTGGAGCTTCCAAGACGCAAGGGGATATTCGCACTGGTGCATTGGTGGCATCTAGAGTGACCGAGTTTGGACGAGAATCGTCTGGATCTTTGGCAGTGATCAATCTGTAGGCGATGGCAAGCCGGAAGAAATGCATAATACAGCACCCCTCACTCTTACGTGGTTGCCCCTTTGCCACGCTCACTCCTCGCTTCCTCCGTGGCGCGCTTAGTCGCACCCTAAATGTTTAACGACTAACTCTAAATTAGTAACGTTAAACTTTAATTAGTAGATGTTGTTAACGGATATGTTAACGACTATAATTTTATAATTAGCCAGTGAATGAACGGCTATAATTTATAAGTATATAACCTATGATTAGTTTAGGCTTTTCCTCATTGTGTTTTATGTTTGTGCTCCTTATATTTTCTTTCTTATTTTATTCATTCTTTTTAGTATTATGGCTAAATTGGAATATGTAAATCATGCTCAAGATAGTATTCTTTCTTTTTCTGATCTTATTGAGAGAACTAATAATAAAGTAAATTCTTTTACTTTTTGTATTACAGTTGGTCTTCTTCCACAAGAAAGAGAATGTGAAAGATGTCATCAACCAATGAGATATCGATCTGATAATCTAGGTTGTGAAAAGATCCCTTGCTCGCTATGATACAACCTTACTTTCAAAAATACATTTGGCAAAAAATATATATTGAAAGAAAGGAAGCTACATTTAATATTCTATGCAGTCATATTAAGCTATACAATCAAGATAATGCTGTTATAGTAGAATAAATAATATATTTGATTTTGTACTTTTAAATACTTAAAAATAGTTGAAAATAATATACTAGAACAATATTTAATTTATAGTAATGAGGTGGCATACGCATATAAGGCATGTAAATCCAAATAAGCAAACGGGGCCCACCCTAAATAAGGGGGGGTGCTGTATTATGCATTCTACCAACTTCCCTTGTGTCGGGGACGTATCCAGCTGCTCTAAAAGTTCCAGCAGCAGGGACCAGACCCTCTCCATCGTCCGGCCGTTGTGACCCTCTTGCTGCTCGTCTCTACCACCACTCGTAAACATGTGTAGCTTGTTGTCAATCTCGATGTAGCTTGCTGCCACTGGCCTCGTCACTCTGTGCTCCTCCATCTCCTTCTGGACTCTTCGAGCGTCATCAAATCGCTTGGCAGCGGCGTACATGTTGGAGAGGAAGACGTAAGGGAGAGTCTCTGCCGGTGCTAGCTCGAAAACTTTCCTGGCGGCTCTCTCACCACGATCCAAGTCACCGTGGTGCTTGCAACCCGACAGTAAAGTCATCCAGGCCACTGCGTCTGCTTGATATGGCATAGTTTCCACCAGCTCTTCGGCATCTCCCAGTCTTCCCGAGCGGCCCAGGACGTCCACCATGCAAAGGTAGTGCTCCACCAATGGTACCACCCCGTGGTCCATCATCAAAGACTGGAAGAAATCTCAACAATCAGCCACCAGTGAAGTATGGCTGCAAGCAACCAGGACGCTCACGAACGTGATTCCGTCGGCTGGAATACCTTCCTGCTCCATCTTCCTGTAAATCCTGAGTGCCTGTTTCTTACGACCATGCTGTGTGAAGGCGGCGATCATCGCACTGCAAGAGAAGGCGTCTCTCGTCTTCATCCTGTTAAACACGCGTCTCGCGTCGTCCAGGCTTCCACACCTCGCGTCCATGCTGAGCAAGGAAGTCTCCATCTGCGGGGATGCGAGATTGGCTTCCACAACTCGGTGATGAATCTCTCGGCCTTCGTCCAAAGCTCCCAGCAGTGCACAGGCATTGAGAGCACTGGAGAAGCTCACACCACTCGGCTCCACGTCCATCCTCTTGAAAAGGTTGAGAGCCTCCTGTGGATTCCCATGCTGAGCGTAGGCCGCGATCATCGAAGTCCAGGAGATCACGTTCCTAGCCGTCATGGAGTCAAAAACCTTCTGAGCTTCCACCAGGCTCCCACACTTCCCATACATTGTCACCAGCGCGTTCTGGATGACAACGTTTGTGTCGAATCCCCGCGAAGCCAGGTGCCTGTGGACCTTCCTCCCCTTCTCCAAGTTACCCAGCCCTTCAACAGCACCCAGGATGGTGGCGAACGTATAAGGATTTGGTTCAATAGCCTCCACCTTGCTCATCCTGGAGACGAGCTCCAGAGCTTCCGCTTGCTCCCCAGCCTGGACGTAAGCCGATATCATCGCCGTGTAGGACCTGACGTTCCTGGCTTTCATCCCCTCAAACACCTTCCTGGATTCCACCATCTCGTCACACTTGAGATACATGTTGAGCAGCGAGTCCTGTAGAACATCGTCCTGCAGAACCTTGGACACTAGAATCCTCTGGTGGATCGCTCGTCCATCAGCCAGGCCCGCAACACTAGCACAGCCACCAACAGCGCAAGCGAAAGTCACCACGTTGGGTTCCACCCCCTCGGAGATCATCCTCCTGTACAGCACCACTGCCATCTCTCCCCACCCGGCGTGAGCATACACCGAGATGATCGACGACCATGTGAACAAGTCCTTGATCTCCATCCCCTCAAACACCCTCTTCGCATCGTCGAGGCTGCCACACTTACCATACATCTGGAGCAAGGCCGTCTCGAGTGGGATGTCCGTTCGGAAGCCCATGATGATCAGGTGCTCGTGGAGCTGCCGCCCCTCCTCGAGTGCCTGGAGCTTGGTGCAAGCCGCCACCAAGCTCGTCACTATAAACTTGTCCATGACAATGCCTCGCTCCTCCATCTCCCCCCAGAGCTCCAGCACTTGCAAGGGGCGGCCCTTCCTCACGCACGCCGCGATCATGATCGCGTAAGTCCTGTCATTCTTGCTGGCGATGAAGTCAAACACCGCCTTGGCATCCAGGAACTTGCCACACTAGGCATACATGTGTACAAAGTTTAACTCTCATATGCAATAGGTTGTCCCTCTTGCATGAGAATTCCTCCCAGTGCATAACCACTCGCATTGCATGTCACCTCATAAAGTTTCGATGGATCAGCAATGCAAAACACTGGAGTCTCACTCAACAATCATTTCAGCGTTACAAAACTCTCCTCTTGTGGCTTCTTCCACTCAAATGACACATTCTTGCGTAACAACCGCGTCAAAGGAATAGCCACCTCTGCAAATTTATGCTGAAAATGTCAGTAGTAACTAGCCATACTAAGAAAACTACGCAACTTGGCCAGTGTAGTCGGTGTAGGTTAGTTTTCCACCACAGCCACCTTCCTTGGATTCATCTTGACACCCTTAGATGTCACAATATGGCCTAAATATTCCACCTCCGACTTTGCAAATTCACATTTGCTCTTCTTCGCATAAAGTTTGCTGTCTCGGAACAACAAAAGAACCTTGCGCAAATGCATCTTATGCTCTTCCATATTCTTGCTAAAAACAAAAATATCGTCCAGAAAAATCTCCACAAACTCATGAAAATAACACCCAAATACCTCCGTCATCAACCGAGTAAATGTGGCTGGTGCATTCGTCAAACCAAACGGCATAACTATAAACTCAAAATGTTCGAAGCTTGTGTTGAATGCCGTCTTGGAGATAGATGCATCATCCATTACAATCTGATGATATCCACTCCTCAGATCAATCTTGGTAAACACTCATGTTTCATTAAGCTTGTCTAGGATATCATCCACATGTGGCATCGGCATCTTATCCTTCACTATCTTCTTGTTCAAAGTGCGGTAGTCAATACACATTCGCATTGAACCATCCTTCTTCTTCACAAGCAAGACTGGAGCACCAAACGGAGACTTACTTGGCTGAATAAATCCAAACTCAAGTAATTTTTTGATTTGTCGTTGAACTTCTTGCTCCTCCGCATAACTTAACCGAAATGGACACCGGTAAATTGGCCGTGTCCATGGCTCCAATGTAATCCCATGCTCCATACCTCGTAACGGAGGCAATCCATGAGGAAGTTCAGATGGAAAAACATCAGAAAACTTGTCAAGTATATCCCGTACTGCTGCTTCTCCCCCACACGTGCCTTGGTCCCCCAAGTCACGAACAAACAGCAAGTAACTTGAAAGTGCTTTTCCATTACGACAAGCCCGCTTCAAAGATGTAGCAGAGAGCATAACAATTAGTGGCTGAACGCCCTCGCCAAACCACACATCTTTAATGCCACAATACTCCAGCGAGATACATTTAATATTCCACTTTATCTCTGGATCCACCTTCACCAACCATGGCATCCCAAGAATGAGATCCACATGATGAATATCCACGAGATAAAAAGTCTTCATAAGTGTAGTTTTGCCAACCAACATTTCCAGCCCCTCGATACAAGTATCGAAATGCTAAGTAGAAGTAACTGCACCTTCCACTGTGTATGGAAGAACTCCACATGTGACCAGGCCATGCTCCGCAACAAACTTTGCCGAAACAAAATTGTCATTGCTCCCACTATCCAATAAAATCCGCACTGGATCGCCACGGAACATGCCCTCCAACATTAAAGTTGATTCACACGTATCCTCGAGCTCCATCTTGTTCCACACAATATTGAGCTGACGAGCAACAATCAAAAGTCTCTTCCTCCAACC